ACTTTTTATAATTAATTTACATAAAATATTGTAAAAGTTGATATTTATTTTACCACCATTGACACATGGAGAATTTTAGTTAGTTAATTGATTAAATCAAAGTCAAAATTTATACTTTTCATAAAAATAATAATATTCTGAACCTTCCTTTTAGACTGATTGGGGCAGACTAAGTTCATGCCAAATATGAAATGCAGGTTGATGCCACACAATCATTGCTACAGACAATGCTTCATTCAAAGAAGTGGGGTACTCTGTTATTTGTAATGCTTGAGATTTTGTTCTGGTGTCTTGTCGCCGGTCTTCTCCATGTGAAGGGCATATACATAAGACTCTAAGATTTTTACACACAGTTTGTATATTCTCCTCTGAATAGCAAGCCATTCTTGTGTCTAGAACAGAAGTTAGCACACCTGTATAAAATGATATGGTTCTCTTGGTCAATGGGGCACCAGCGTTTGTAATTTTTCGGTACTCTAGTCTTCTATCCGATTAGCTTTAGATCCAGAACTCTAATCATTTTACTGCACGTTGCAGAGAACTTAGATGGTCACAGAAATCCTTTTTACATGCTCCACAAATTCTGCTGGTTAAGTCAATGTCATATAAGGTTTATATGTAGGATCTTCTTTAGAGCTCCTGTTGTGAGTATCCTACCTATATTGGTCCGTGATTATACGGCCATTGTAGCCAAGAGTAGACAACAGGCATTTTGAGACACAACAGACAGCACATTCTGTCAATATCACTCCATTCCTTTCAACAGGAAAAGGAGGGAAAATGATCAAAGCAAAAGGTTCCATAGTGTGTACTGCGGCTCTCCTTATTCATAATGGCAATGGGTGACAAAGTGCGGATCTTTAGGTTTAAAAAGCTGGAGACAGCTCACATGGACTGAACTGCAGAACTTGTTTTCTTCTATGCTAGCTCTAATGGCTTTTGCAAAGTGAAAATATGGTTTGTTAGACGACACGTCGGACATGACAGTGACTGTGCTAAGACAAACAGTGTAATTTGAAGGACCATTTCTCTAACCTCCCAATTCATTGGATGGTTTTGCAGTAGTGGATTTCCTTTTCTTCCTCCGTTTATATATATTATTTGTGAAATTTCAAGGGAAATAAACTGCTCAACTTAACCGGATCCGTTGAAAATTGGTTTAAGGGTAGTTGAGGAGAAAGATGTATTTTAACCTATTAAATTATAATACTTTAAATATTGTAATATGATATTTTGATTGTTAAAAAATTCATCAGTTCCCTTCTTTTTTCTCTTTTTTTTCAAACCAAACATTACCCTAAATTATGAAAGATGATTGTTCTTTCCTCTTTACGGAAAGGGTAATTGGCAAAAATATTTTCCTGCTATCAAAGGATAATTCTGCTTTGGTATATTTAGTTCCTTCCTGTCAAAGGTATACTTCCAAAAAAATAAATAAATAATAAATAATCAATAGGTTAAAGAAATTTTCTCTTTCGGAGCTTTGCTTCAAACTCCTTTTCTGATTCCATCCCCTTCATATGGGGCAAACGAAAAAGGAAGCACATGGGTCTCGCTTATCAATTTTCCTTTTCAATCCCCTATAAAATCCAGGCATTTGTCACGCCTTCTACTTCCTCCCAACATTGAGAAGAAATATAATGGCATCTGAGAAACCAGGCGTTGAGGTCGCAGACACCCATGACGAAATCTCTCAGGAGAATTCTGAAGACCGATCAACTACAGGACAGTCGACCCAATTCCACCACTTCAGCAAGGCACTTGCACATAGAGCAGTTTATGGACAGAGCAGCCGCCGTGATGGGAGCAAAAAGGTCAAGACCAGCGACGTTAGAACATTGCCGAGCAGGCTGAGCAAGGTGTCCTTGGCTGATGATGCAGATAAGTGAGAAGTGGTATGATGTTTTGTTCTACATGTATCTCTAATAGATATTGTACAATTCTGTTTTAATGAAATGAGGGGGGAATTTATTTTACTTTGTAATTTGCATCACATTGTAAAAAAGAGAAACTCTAATTTTCTTTAATTTCCTTCCCATTAATTTTTTTTTTTCTTTTCGTTTATATTTTACATTTTACATGAACCAAACACGGTATATGAGAAATTCGTACATTGAACAAACAGATGCAATTTTATTTTTTTTCGAAGAGAATGGTTTTGACTTTTTGACAATAAATCTTATGATGTTCATGTGACATCAAACAGGTGATTCATACAAAATCTCAGGTCTGAAGCAAACTAAAAAAATGTAAATAAAAATTATGTTATGTTATGTTGTAAGATTTTAAGATAATAATTTGTAAATAATTTATTAATATAATTTTTATTTATAATTTTCACATGTAATTATATATAAAAATACATACAAAATTACAAATTCTAATAATCTAATTATTAAATAATATATAAAAAAATATAAAAAAATTATACACAAATTATCTATTAAACATTTTTGAAATTTAATTATTTGAAAAATATTATCAATAAATTATTTTCCTTATCAGAAATAATTTAAAATGGAAACCCAAGGCATGTAATAATGGCCATAAAATTGTCTTTTGATTACACCATTTTTAACTCACTCAAATAAACCTAGTAGGCTCAAGCTCGGTCCATAGAACAACCAATTTGGGCTAAAGACCAGAAACTTAAATCTTTGAACCCAACATCACCCATTGGATCGGGCCCTTTTTCCCTTCGGTGTTTCTTCTACACTTCTACTCACCATCGACGATAAGGTATGCATATGAGCTTGACAGAAAAGGAGACTTGAGCTCTGATTACGATACAAATTCAAATTACTTGACAATGGTAAAATAAAAAGGTATTTTCTAAGTTTCTCATGCATAGACTAAGTGATTTATTACTTAATTGTTTGTGAGAACACCATCCTAGGTTAGAAGTTCAAGTCCTTGGTGATCTCGCTGCTCATTCCCCCTTAGTATAGTAAGTTTAATTGTAATTTATTTTTTTTAAAAAAATATTTTTCAAGTTGAATTGTACATTAAACGTGTAATTTATCTTATAAATTTATTTAAATATTTTTAATAAAATAATATAAAAAATAATTTTATTAAGTGTATTTAAATGAATTTATAAGGTGGATTATATTTTTAATATACAATATGTGAAAAACTTGAATTCCATAGTAAAAATTATTCATATTGTATTTAGTTAACAATTTTCTTTTAATTGACTGATATGAGATTTTTTCAATTAAACCATTAAAATTTAAAAATAAACAATTAAAAAAAAATCTCCTACTCACTACATGAATTAAAACACCAATAGATCGACCAGGGAACAAAAACAAATCTCCCAGGTCTAACCAAACCTTAGGATACCTTTGATGATTTACATCTAGTAATGACTCATGACAAGCATGCATGAAAGATACAACATAGTTGAGCATTGAACAGATTCATTGGACAGGATATCTGGAATGAAATCTTAGGACATCATCTCCAGCCGAAAAGTGACAAGAAATCCACCCAACTCAATCAGCAAGCAAGCCAATAGTTGTTTCTTTGGTTGAGGTTGACCAATCCATAGCCATCTAAAAAGCCTCTCCGTTGGTGCACCACATTAACACAGGCTTTAGTCCCTTCAGAAAAGAACCAAGAGGTGACTTTGGTGGGTCATCTTCAAGGGTTCGGCAATATTATCTTTACGTCTTCTTCTCAACAACAGTATTTGATCACATACATACACTACTGTCTTATCCCCCCTCAAAACATGGATTGGTATAAGAAACAATAATAAGACACTTTGGTCCAATGACTTAGCTTCAATTTTTCTTGAACAATGTGGCTGATGGGGAATCAAATATATATTCCACTTGCATTGTAGCATGCATCACTAACCAATTGAGCTAATGCAAGCACCAATATTGCAATCAATTTTCATAGCTTAAATTTTTTGAGATGATTGATCAAACATAACTACAATTTGGTGATGAATTTATTGGGGTTGGACGAGGAACAAAGGCTTCATGTACATCCATTTTGGTTCCTTAATTAATGCACGCGACCAACTTAAATCATATCACCCCTTGTTGATTAATTGGAGAAGAATTTCTTTCCCCCACCACTTAATTGCTTTAATCCTAATAGTTGTCCTTACTAGGCTAGGATGTGTAGGCAGTCCACTCAAAGAATCAATATAGGCACATATCTTGATGTTGAGATTGTGTATCTGTATCTAGCAATTAGCCCAAGACTAAACCCTTGGCGTGCAAAATTGATACATACATTACTCTAAAGAAATTTAACAACCTTACAATAAGCATCTTTGACCTTCCGCTACTTGAACCTGCGTAGATGGCGGGCATCCAAACATCCCGTGGACGGGTAGCAAGTTTTGTAATGAAAAGGCGCGCAAAAAGGTAACATTAGCATTTGAATCTTTACAAGCAATCAAAAGCAGAACAAAAAAAATAAGAGACAACATGGAAGTGGGCCAATTGATGTACTTCCATGTCCCGAATCCAACAAAACATTCACTGTGTGGATCTCTTTCCTGTCATTTAATTAATCAGACTTCTATCTTGTCATTAAAACACATTGCTTTTATAAGTGTGGGTATATATGTATATCCAGCTTTTCCGTAAAAAAAAATGAAGGGCCTAATATAATTAAGCATTCCAACATTATGTGGAGATGTTAGGAAATATTTACAGCAGGCTGGTTTAATTAATTCATCGATTCATTAATATTTGGACTGTATATATGCATGTTAATTGTCAACTAGCTACATATGTCCTCGGCAGCATTTTGGTCATATATAGTCCGTATCATCTATATATGTAGCTGTTAGGTAAGGACAATTAGCCACTCAATGATTTCCGTCGAAAACAACACATCAAATTCAAAAAGAATCAAGAGGAATGCCGATATGACACCATTACTTAGGGTGGTGGGGTGGGGGCATACCGCCATAGCTGGTTCTTAGTTTCATTTTAGTATTTTATTTCCTTCACTAAATGCTGGCCAAGAAAGACTATTTACCTTTAGTTGAAATCAAGTTTAGATGAAACATTCTTGATACGTGTCAAATTTTTAGAACAAATGACCCCCTTTTCAATCGATATATATTAGGGAAAAGATATCAAATTTCAATATTATTTGTACTGGAGTATGAATAAATTTCAAGTCCAAGGAATTAGGAAAAAAAACTAATGTATATAACAGATCCATGGTGGAGATATTTGGAGGAAAACACGGGCATTATTCATGGATGGTGTTTTGGAGCACTATTAATTAGTTGAACAGTTTACCCTAAAGACAGAGAATAGGAGTGAATTAATTGTATTTTTGTAATTAATGTATATATATAATAGAATTTAAATTATATTTTATTAATGGTTTAATCAAAAACATTTATGTGATAGGGTGTTAAAATTATGTCAATTTTTGTAGTTTTTATTACGAATTAATAACAAAAAAATACAATTAATGTAAGTTTTTAAGACATTGTATGAAAAAAAAAACCATGATTGGTGCACACCCGGATTCCACACCCGGGTGTGCACCTTCACATAAAAAAAAAAAGTTAGATCGGATGATGGGCTTTTTTCTTTTTTTATATATATATATGAGGATGCACACCTGGGTGTGGGATCCGGGTGTGCACCCATCATTTTCCATGAAAAAATCAATAATTCAAACTTAACAAAATGTAAGGTTATTGTCACACCCTAAATAGTTAATATTATATTTTTAATATAATAACCCTAAATAGTTAATATCATATTTTTTTAATATAATTATCCTAAATAGTTAATATCACATTTTTTTAATATAATTATTTATTATATCTTTATCTTATACTTTTTCTCAAAAATTGGCTTTTTTTTTTGTTTCTTAATAAATTAAAGAGTTTAATGATCAATTAAAATAAAAAAGTATGGTATTAATAATTGAATGCATGGCAATAACATTACCTCTTAACAAATTTTTATAAGATTAATGTTTATATGCCAAACTTGTAAAAAATTAAGTAGAAAATACTTAAAATTATGTCATTTTGATAAAACATCACTAGAAAATACTAAATCAGTCTCATTTCTACTTTAAAAATTAGAATATTTTAATTTTTTTTAATGAAACTTATTAAAATAATATAATTTTGAAATTTTTTTTACCTAACTTTTTATAATAAAAGCTAATACTCACTTATTTGATATTAATTATTATTATCTTTTAAAATTAAAAGATGATTATTAAGATAAGAGTTTTATGAGAAAGTGTGGAAGCAATGGTTAAAACCACCGTAACTTTTGATAAACCCATAAAAAATTATTAAACTAGTATTTTAATTTAATTATTAAAAATAATTAATAATTAATAAAATAATTTATATTTATTATTTAATATATTAAAATTATTTATAAATAAATATTTTTAAATATTATAACTAATTCTTTATTTAAAAAATTATAAATTGATAACCTTATTTTGTTACCGTGACAACAAGCTCAGCCGAGAGTGGAAGGTCAATCAAAGTTTAGATTATGGGAGACACTGTGATCTTGGACGAATTCAAGTGGGAACATGCGCGACGCTAATGGCCAACAGAACAGGTTCCTCCATAGCCCAACGCCGCATCGAAACGTGTCAGTCCTTTCCATACAAATATACAATGCCAAGTACACCGAAATGATGTTTTTTTTTTTTCTTTTTTTTCTTTTTTTTCTTTAATTATCGGAGACCAGTTATGTAATTGGGAAGATAAAAAGCCTTTTGTGTTGTGTCCCTCCATCGACAGGCATGAAAAGAAAGAGTGGAAAGGAAAAGAACTAAAGCTGTGGATCAGATCTAGTAGTTCAGTGGAGAGAAGAGTAATGTCAGTTGCACTCGGCATTTGATTGGCCTACTGTTAATTTTTTCCAAAGAAAAATAAGGGCATTTGATTAATCAAAGGCCAGGTGTCGCGTACTAAATAGTCTGCCAAGTTCAGTTAGCACTCCT